GCTTTAACAATGGCTTTTCGTAAAAGAAGTTTAAGGATCCTAGATTTGTCGCTCTGCGATACACCTAAGTCTTTCAACACAGACCCCAGATTACAAAAAGGTAAGTTTTTAGAACTAAATATAATTTTTTTACACAGTCGAGAAAATGTAAATGCAATGTTAACTGCTTTTCTAAATGTTAGTACATCTTTATTAATAATAATTTTATTTAATGTCTGCTTCCGTTGTAACAAAAATATCTATTTCAGGTGCAGATAAAGAAATTCTACCACATCAAGAACTTAGCGATAGATGCGGCCAAGATGCAGCCATCAAATCAGCTGGTGTTGCAGAAGAAAAGCACTATAAACAAAGTTCTGTGGTAAGTGACGACCTTTATTTAAGTGACAGCGATGATTCGATAAAGGATAAAGATTATCAACCAGATTCAGACACTGATTTAGATGAAAGTGGAAGTAGGTTTCCTGTACTTTTATCGGCATTGCCAGAAGGTGTGCCAAGTACATCTAATTCCGTACCAGACTTCTTAACTAATACCGTAGAAGAGACTATAAATCCAAATTCTTTAATGACCAAGAGAAAAGTTGTCAATAAAACAAAAATAAAGCAGACAGGAAAGAAACGGACACGACATGTTCTTCACTGGAAAGCGAATGAGAGAAAAAGAAACTATGCTGGAGGCAGGGCCTATGTTAGTAAGAAGGGTAAGAATGTTCCTTGCAAAAACCTAAAAGTACCATGCGGAATAACTTGCCGCATGAAATGTAGTTCAAAATTATCTGAAGCTCAAAGGGAAGATATTTTCAAAAAATATTGGAATGACACAGCAGACCATAATATCAAAAGACAATTTATATTATCTTGTGTCCAAACGAAACCTACAGAACGACATAGGTTGCGCTCAGGAGACGAATCTAAACTAAGATCAAATACTTTAATTTACTCTTTTGTAATTAACGGTAATAGAACCTTAGTATGTAAAACCATGTTCTTAAACACGTTAAGTATTTCACAGCAAGTAGTGAAGACTGCTTTATCAAAACGACAGGATGGCGGCATGGTTCAACGAGATCTTAGGGGCACTCATGAGCCAAGTAATAAGACAACACAAACAATTATTGATTCTGTAGTATCACATATTTCATCTTTTCCGAAATACGAGTGTCACTACAATCGGGAAAGGTCCAAAAAGAATTACTTGGGGCCTGATTTAAATATTGAAAAAATGTATAAATTATACAAACAGAAAAAGACAGAGAATAATGATGCTACTGAAGTCATAGCAAAGCCCTGGCTATATCGCGATATATTTAATAAGCAATTTAATTTAACATTCAAACCCCCAGAGGTAGACACTTGTGACGACTGCGATATGTTTGCAGCTAAAATACGAGCAAAAATTGATAATGATTCTGAGAAACAACTGATTGAAAATGAAAAAGATACCCACTTAAAAGAAGCAGAAAATAGATATAAATTTAAATCTATTGATATGGCTGAAGCAAAAACAAATATAAAACACAAAGTTCTGACTGGTGATCTACAAAAGTGCCTTCCAACGCCATATTTGACCAATTGTGTGAATTTTTATAAGCGAAAATTATGGACTTTGAATTACACTTTATACGATGGGTATAATAGTGCTGCGTATTGTATAACGTGGGATGAAACCAAAGCAAACAGAGGAGGAAATGAAATTGCTTCGGGAATTTTAAAGTGGGCTGATCTAAATATTCCTTCATCTGACGTCGAATGTGTTACCTTATGGGCAGATAACTGTTGGGGCCAGACGAAAAATCTATGTGTAGTTATGTGTGCACTTTACCTCATTCAAAGATATCCTAAACTACAAGTAATAGATTGTAAATTTCTTCTAAAGGGGCACACGCATATGGAATCCGATTCGGTACACGCCAATATTGAAAGGAAACGGAAAAAACTACCCAATCTCACTATATTAACACCCTGGGACTGGCAACAATTTATTCGTCAGTGTTCAAATAAATACGAAGCTGTGAACATGGAACTCAATGATTTTAAAAATTTTGAATGCTTATATTCTTCAACAGGTCCATTTATTAATCGGAAAATAAATACTGACAGAGAGGCATTTCAAATTTCAAAATCAGTGATCTTACGAGTTACCAAAGAAAAATTTGGAATACTTCAATACAAAACTGCATTCAACAGTGACACTTTTCAAATGGTTGACTTAAGACGAAATAAAAGAGGTGATATCATTTTGCCAGAAACTTTACCACAAATGAATATGCAATTGATTCCTATATCAACAAAAAAATATAGTGATCTTATGGACTTACTCTTATACTTGCCATCGTATTGCCATGATTTTTATAAGAATCTTCCTCATTCAAACGAAGAATCCGAGTATCCTAACGATAATAATGATATGTAATTTTCAAACTGTATGTTAGTTCTAACTAAATAAAATACATAAAGAAGTATTGACGAGTTTTTTTACACAGATAACCAATTTATGAGGACTTAGTATAGGTGTATTATAAATATAAGGAGTTTTATAATTTAGAAGTAATATATCCTAAGTCCATTATTTTATTATCTTTAAACCCTTATTATACTTTCATAATACTACAGCAAACTATATATAATACTATTTTTAAATACCGACAATAGTTTCCGCTACAATTATTAATTGCTTATAATTTTCTGAACAAACATCAAATATAATGTTTAAGTACTCCTCCTGTAAAATTATGAGAATGTGACTTAGGATGGTATGCTTCCCATGTCAGATATATATATATATATATATATATATATATATATATATATATAGATATATATATTACATATATATACATTACTTCCAAGAAATTAACACGCACCACTTTGAACTATTAAAATATTTTGTTAGCGTTAATAAAAATTTCCATCGTAATGTTATATTTTGCAAGCCCCTTGTATATGCTATTCGTACACTATATTTATTGCAAAAAATGAACTAATTCTATAAATATACTAATTTCTAAGTTTTCACGAATTTCATTCGGCTACTGTTTATACTAGTGCTATTTATTGATGAATCTCGATTTTGTTTGTACAACGACAGAAATGTGTTCGTGTGCGACGACCCAACGAACGATATGCTCAGTGTAACTTCTCACACACCACATTTTTTGGTGGAGGATTCGTTTTGGTGTGGGGTGGTATTTCTTTGACCGTACGTACGGACCTAGTGATTGTACAAAATGGAACTGTTCACAGCTGAAAGGTACATATTTTAGATCCTGGAGCAACATGTAGTACCATTCGCTCCTTATATCGGTGAAAATTTCTTACTAATGCAAGATAATGCCAGACCTCACGCTGCACAGATCGTCAGAAATTATCTAGAAGAGGTAGAAATTAACACTATGGAATGGCCAGCACATAGTACGGATTTAAATCTGATTGAAAATCTTTGGGATATTCTTGGTAGGCGATTAAGAGCGACACCGATCCAACCAAACAACTTACAGGAAAGTGGGAGATAGGCTGATCCAGTTTTGGAGATAACTAGACCAAAATGAAATACGGCAATTAATGTTAAGTATGGGCCAATGATGTAAGGTTGTTATACGTATTAGAGGTGGAAACATCGTTATTAAGATTTTTTCATATTTTAGTTTACTTTTCTTATCATTATTTTTTAGAATTTTCCGTTTATTTTTTTTTCTCCTGTACTTCAACATTTTTTGATGATTAGACAAATTGTTATAATTACTAATAAAATGTAGAATAAATTTGGTGAAGTTTTATTTTTTATTCTTTGCCTGTTTACAAATAAAATTGATTTATTGAAGTGATGCGTTAATTTCTTGGAGAAGTGTATTATATATATATTATATATATATATATATATATATATATATATATATATATATATATATATTATGTCTTTATTAATTCTAATTTATTATTCTTATCTTAATTTACTAAAGGTTCGACATTATACACTCACAATTATGAAAGTCTTTATTACTACTAATTTATTTTACACTGAATAATTATATAATTTACGATATTTACGAATTTCCGATACAATTTTAACCGACCCCGATATCTTCTTTTGACTGACTCCAATAAAAAATCCCGTTGTTTATATATAAAATGCCGTCATCTAGAAGGGTCTGGGGAATCCCTCTGATTATACCAGAAACTGGGTCATCATTCGACCGGTTTCTGGAAACTTCGAACGGCGTTTCGGTAATGTCTGTGTACGTTTTCGTTTGAATCTGACAAAGGTCAGGTTTCTGCGAAAAGTGATTAATTGCAATGAAACATAAATCTTTTCACATGTACATATCTTTATTAACCTAACCAAGAAATATATAATTTTATATTAAATATATACGGTTAAGAAATATATAATATATATATATATATATATATATATATATATATATATATACATATATTGTCACAGGCCTTCTTTAAGTCAAAAAATCAAAATTTGTCTTTTAGTTACACTATTTTTATCCATGGTGCCCTATGACATGTCCTATGTAACTATACGTTCAATAATAATGACACTGTGAAGACACTTGTTTGTTTTTCTATCGTTATATAATCGTGATATTATTTCCTTTCATTTAACGTATCACACGCTCAAATCGGAGCAATAAGAAAGGAGATATAATATAATGCCCTCTTAGCAATGCCGCAATGTGTGTTTTCTCTGTCTCAACATATTTGCTACCCCTCTCATTTCCAATGATGTATCATACATCACGATCCGACGAACTATTCTACCTCCACCACAAAATGCTCAAAAAATGAACAGAATTAACCTTAAAAGTTTCTTATGGGATTTTACATGCACACGCATTTTCATGACATGAAGCAGAAATGTCAAATGTTGGTAGTTCAGATTTCTTTCCTAGATAGCGTCGCTGCCTTACTGGACAAACGGTGTGACTTGTCATCATAGCCTTTTGTATAGATAGATTATAGGATGAAAAAATATTTTGTTTTTTCAGATAAACTGGTGTGTTATTATGGATCATGGGCTCATTATAGATCTGGAAAAGGTTCTTACAAAGTTGAGGATATAGGTAATTTACCGTGTACTCATCTAATTTACAGTTTTATTGGATTATCCGACGCAAACACTGGAGAAGTTGTTTCATTAGACCCTCATTTAGACAATAATCTAAGTAAGTATTTTTATTATAAGAAATGCTAAGAAAATATTTTTATTTTGTTATCAAAAAAATATCATATCTAGTCTGACTTCTACTACTTAGGACCTACTACTATTCTTTAATAGATGCCACTACTGAAAAGTTTGGTCCAGTCGGTGGATTTTAATAATTTGTCGATGCCATACTGGATTATGTGGCTTAGTCCACTCTGGCAGTGAGTTCGATTATTGTTTACTGTTTGGTTCGATATAAATTACACGTGGTTTTGTGTATATTATTATTTAGACTATTTTAGCATTAGGTACATAGTTTAATTTGAAAAGTATGGCATTACCTACTTGTTCGTATGTACGTACATCCAAAAAAATAGAAGGTAAGTTATTCTCTGCTTTTATTCGTTAATATTTCGAATTTAACCATCGCTAACCTTACTTTTAGAACATGACGAAAATTCAGATAGTGATTGTGAACCCCCAAATTCTCAAGATAATGGCAGTTCTGACGTATATGAGCCATCTGATTTAGAGTCCGAGAGCAGTCTTAATAACACGGAGCCTAATATCAAACGCAACCAGAAAAAATTAGGGACATTTTTGGGTACGCAGTTTAATTTGAAAAATATGGCATTACCTAGTTGTTCGTATGTACATACAAGGCAAAAAATAGAAGGTAAGTCTTACTGCTTTTTTTCGTAAATATTTCGAATTTAACTATCGCTAATCTCACTTTTAGAACATGAAAATTCAGATAGTGATTGTGAACCCGCAAATTATCAAGATAATGGCAGTTCTGACGAATATGAGCCATCTGATGTAGAGTCCGAGAGCAGTCTTGATAACACGGAGCCTAATGTGAAACGCAAGCAACAACAATTAAGGACATTTGTGGGTGCGGAGGCCCAGTCTGAAATGGTTAACAATGGTGATGAAGCTTTGTTGGACGAAAAGAAACCAAAATCAAGAAAGCGGATCAGGAACGAGGACCAATGGAAAAAAAATCAAAGAAAATTTTTGCGGGCTACTGGTAAGGAATACACTAATGTAAACGGTCACATTGTTCCCGCTAAACTATTTTGTTACGTGAACAATTGCTGTAAATTAAATTGCTATAAATTATTTAGCCCAGAAACGCAAAAAGAGATTTATAATAAATTTTATGGGCTTGCAAATTTCGATTTACAGACTGGATACATATTTTCTCAAATTAAAGTTAAACCAGTTGCCCGTCATTACACCCCTAAAAACAGTGGCATTCCTATTCCTACTAATAAATCGAAAAGCCTTACGAGAGAATATTATTTACCCAATAACCAAGGAAATGATGTAAAAATCTGTAAAAGTTTATTTAAAAAGGTTCTTATGGTTTCAGACGGTAAACTTGATAGAACTCTTAAGAAAAAAACTGACTTGATGGTTCCATTGGATAAGCGAGGGCGCCATCCCCCTGCTAATAAAACTCCTGTGAAAAAAATTGATGATGTTTGCAAGTTCATTGAAAGTTTTCCAACCTATATTTCCCATTACTCTAGGCATAAAACAGTCAGAAAATATCTTGGTCCAGAGCTAAACATTCGAATTCTTTACAGTGAATATAAGAAAAAAACAGTTAATTACGTGTCAGAACATAAGTTTCGTGATATATTTAACAGTAAATTTGATATACATTTTCATCCGCCCATTGTAGACTCCTGCAAAACTTGCGATTCTTTAGGAAATAAAATAAAATATGAAGTAGATCAAACAAAACTGAAGGAATTAACTTTGAAACTAGAACTTCACCAGCGCAAAGCCCAACAACTACGAGATGCTATGGATCAGGATGCAAAAATTCCATCGAAGGAAGATGTTACAGTTATCGCCTTTGATCTTATGAAAACCCTACCTACACCTGTCATCTCTACCGGCATAACTTATTATAAGAGGCAATTATGGACATTCTGTCTAGGAGTTCATAATTTGCAGAATAATGAAGCCACCATGTTTATATGGGATGAATCGATTGCATCTCGTGGAGCCCAAGAGGTGGGATCATGTTTGATGTACTATATTAAAAATAATGTAAAGACCAAAAAAGTTATAATGTATTCTGATGGCTGCGGAGGCCAGAACAGGAATATCAAAATGACTTTAATTTGCAACTATATTGTCCATTCTCAAGAATTTGTCGTAAAAGAAATTCAACATAATTTTTTGGTTAGCGGTCATTCTTTTCTCTCGTGTGATAGGGACTTCGGACTTATTGAAAAAAATAAAAAATTCTTTCCTAATATTTACGTTCCCAATAACTGGATTGATGTCGTATTAGGAGCAAAGAAAAAAAATCCATTTAGAGTAGTCCTAATGGAAAAAGAAAACTTTTACTCTACCGTGGGGTTGGAAAAACTTATTACAAACAGAAAAATAAGTTTAGAATCCTCAAAAGTAGAATGGCTAAAAATGCATTGTATTATAATAAAAAAAGAAGACCCATTTGTTGTATATTTTAAATATGGCACCAGTGAGTGTCATGCTGTACAAAAATTTAGCATTCAAAAAAGAAATGTGGTTATGGAAGATTTCCAAAGACCGTACCTCTGTTGTACCCAAATGGAAATTGTATAACCGACTGCCAAAAAGAAAGATCTTTTACAGTTAACCGAATTTATTCCACCCATCTATCATAACTTCTTTCAGTCTTTAAAATGCTCATTAGGAGCGCACGATGAACTGCCCATAGTTGATAAAAATTTTGATGCAAGTTTGTAATATTTTAACAAATTATGATTTTTTTAAGTTAATCTATGCCATAAGTGTTTATTTTGTAATAAAATGATATTAAAATTAAAGTATGTGTCTTTGGTTTTGGTCCACTACGGAAGAACAAAAACTTTTATTAAAGCCAGAGTGGATCAAGCCACAAAAACTTCTTCTTTAGTGCACATTGTGGTATATTTTTAGTGGTGCAGCAAAGGTTTACCTTTTCTTATGATTTTACCAAAAATTAAGCGTTGTTAAAATGATTTTATCAGTATTAAAAAAATTATGAAAAATCGAACATTTTTTAAACGCATTTATCTCTAATGAAGTTCTTATGTGGATGGTCCGCTCTGGTTCTCAACGCCTCAATTAAGCGAAAGCGTAAACTGATGTTGAATTAAGCGATTGGTAACATATTAAATCTCTTATTTAGTTAGATACCCATCATCGAGATCTAACATATGAATTAGGACCTTAGTCTTGTGCTAGCCAAAAACCTACATTTATTTTTGCCTGAATTGGTTTATTTCTCTTACAATAAGAATTTTTTCATTTTAGTAGTAATTATTTTAAGATGCATATTCCTTCTAAATTATCTTGTTTAGAAGTAGTTGAGAAGCTTTGGGTTGTCAACATCAGTGTAATCCTCATAATGTAGGTTGGTAATTGAGATAGAGCTCAATATTATATCATCTGTATCTTATTAAAGTCCTAACGAGCATTTATCCTCAAAATGTTTTAAAGAAACACTGCTTGGGACAGTTGAACGGAGGATTGAGTAGCTTTGCGGTTACCATAGCCCGACCCAAACACGGATCAAAAGTGAAGAGTGATTGGCAAGGTTAGCAACTTACCAATCGTAAAAACGAATACTGCTCAAAGAAAACAATGTACAGCCTTGGAACCAGATTGATATTATAAAGACGATCACGGTAAGACATAAGGACAAGCGAAAAATATCCAAAACCCAGATGAGAGTTACTGCAAGGAATATCAGATCGCTCGACTCAATTGAACAAGAAATAACCCAAGCGCTAAAAGAGAAACAAATAGATATTTGCGCTCGACAGGAAATTAAAAGTAAAGGAAAAGAATAATCAAAATTAGGTGAATACATACTAATCTACAGTGGAGTAGCAAATGAAAACAGGGTCAAAAAAGGTGTCTTCTCACTAATACACCAAAGGTACCAAAATCACATCAAAGAGTCTCAATACATTAGAGAATCGATTGTAACAGCAAAAATAAGAAGTGAGAGGGAACACTTCACATATTTTCGGAGTATACGGCCCAGAAAAATAATAATCATCAAACAAAAGAGAAACGTTTTATAACAAATTACATCAAGTAGTATTGGGACGTGCAAGTTCGGAACAGCGACACCTGGTGTCGTAAATCAGCAAAATTTTACTGCGTTTTATGTTAGATCGAGGTAACCGGATAACTGTCAAGGACGTGGCCCCAAAAAAGAATAAGAAGAAAAAGTAAGATTGAGGTTATGTCGGTATGTTATTAAAAGGTAAACGTTGATGTAGCGTAAATACAAATAAATATATTATTGAATTACAGCATTACTGTTAATATGGATTCAATAATAAAAACTGGATTTGAGAAAGTAAATCACCAAATAACTTTTCAACCAAGCACTGAGTCAAAGGGAAAAGCTTTAGTAGTGGCAAATGTCAAAAAATAATGGAAGAATTAAGAAAAATAAATTACCATAAATAATGCTAATGCATAAATTAGCAGGTTAAGCCCATGATATCATCATATTGGTTTGAACAATTAATTCTTCCCTGTAAACTTTTGGACAGCGAATATCTTAATGCATCTTCAGAAAAACTTGAACTTGATGCATTCTTGTAAACTTCAAAAAAATAAAATTTACATTTACAACATTAAACTTGATTTTTGGGTTAAAATGAACTCTAAGTGAGTGTTATGAAACTAAAATTTACACTTAAAAGTGAACTTTTATTTATTATTTATTTCAAACTGACTTTAAAATCTGGCGCAAGAATAATGCATAATTTAGGTTATGTTACTTATGCTTTTTTATGATATAAATCCACTTTTCTCTTTGTAGTAATTTGTGCTTCGAAGTTGGAAACAAATAAAACTTAAATTGACAATTTTTTGTTGTATTTTTACAATTTATAACACAGCATTTCCTATAAATCCCATTTTCTTCAGAGACAGAAGGTGTAAATGTAAATAAACAAAACGAATATGAAATATGACAATTGACAATATGAATTTATGAAATCTATGAAATGT